AAGCACTAACAGGATTGGGCGAGCTTGATTTGGCAGTGGTAATGTCACCTTGGCACGTGACAGTGACCCCTGCAGCTTGGCAGGAACCTGTACTCATGAAATGCTATTCATGAGAGCTTAATCAGTCCTTTGTCCAACGACTATAGCTCCATCATTGCAGCTGTTGACATTTAGAGTGAATACATGGGAGACAAAAAGATTCCTGCATCAGCACAACAGAGATGATACATACAGATGATAAGCACAGTCTACAGCAGTTAGTTGAATTGATTAAAAAACAGAGATTCCATAATGTGATTATAAAATAAGTTTTTATTTGAGTATGTGATGGAAAACAGAAACAAATACTTCTCACTCCTCACTCAATTACTGTCTGTTCAAGTAAAGATTTTTCTTAAAGAGTCTCAAGCATAAATCACAATTCTGTAAAGCAGCAAGACAACAACTTGACAATCCATGTGAAGGAAGATGGGTCTGGCAGTTCATTAACACAATTATTAATATTGCTACAGCTTTAGGTGAGAAGGGGGAGCTTAGATCAAGTTTGTGACACCTGGCAGAGTAAATGTTTCTACCTTCAAAGCAGAGGGGATGTTTGCTGAGATGTGGGGGATCCCCTGATAAAAAAAACAATTGTAAAGTTGACCTTGGTATACCTAGGTAATTAAGTTGTAGGTTAATCCCTGTCAATGAGCAGTCTAGAAACACACCATATAAGATCACATTAAGACCACAAAGGGAGAAAGGAAAGACAGAATAAGAAGAGGACTAAGAGAGAAGGGAGAAAGAAGAACAGATCACAATATAGGTGTTGGAACTTGAAGCTTGAGCCAGGTGAGAGCCCCTACTTCATGGACAACAAAACCTGACTTGAGCTAAGTATTTGAACCTTCCTAGAGAGAGCTTGCTACTGTGTGTTTTAGGGAACTTGAATTGAGGCAATACCTTGGTTAGAAATGGCTTTCCTACGTGTGAGTGCAATTTTAGAATAGGGAGATAGGCTCCTATTTTATTTTATGGCATCCGCAGTGTGGAGAGAGTTTTAACTGCAGGTTGTATTGCATTTATTTTAAAAAGGCAGTTTATCTTTTCTTTGGCCTCTGTGGAGTTTAATACTTAGACACTTGTATTTTCCTGATTTGTTGAAGAGGCAGACTAAATCAGATAATACTACGGTGGTTTCTAACATTATAGACCGGCCATATGATATTAAGATATGAAAGCAACTGAACTTTCTAAAGTTAAACTATGATATGACTGAAATTAAGCTGATCGGTCCTGAGTAACATCTATACAAAATTGGTATCAATGATGCCATGACAAACCGATAGCAGAAGTTAATCTTGATGTTGTTTTTGACTGCGTTGATGTTTGAAAGCAATGTTAGTAAACTCACAAGAGTATCGTACTTTTATCTGCGTAATACTGCCAGGTTAAGTTTCCTTAGTCTACTATACAGTATCTGATGCTAAAAATTTATATATGCCTTTATTTCATAAGATTAGACTACTATCATTTCTTATTTATGGGCATGTCTCATATACGTGCTTAAACAGCAAGCATGCAAATCCAATCTTTAAAATTTAAAATGCTTTAGCTTCCTGTGAAATTAACAATGGATTTTAAAGTCCTTCTAAATATAGTATTAAGAAACTAAATGGTCCATCTCCAAGGTATCTTAATGTCCTACAGTATACATATCACATAATGTGCCAATTCCGTTTCTTTTCATTAGACCCAGGCTCACAATGTACAACTGAGTCCCCTCTTGTGTAGCATGCATTTCAGCTCAAATTCATAAGTGATTCTATGCATCTAGATAAGTCAGTTAAAGACTTCTTTTATTGCTATTGCTTTTAAGGCATAGTGGCTATAGAAAGTCTATACTCTAGAATATCATGTATTTAAATGAGGATTATTTCTTCTGATACACAAACTACATTCCACCCTTCTAAGGAAAAAATATTTTTATTGGGGGGAAAAATTATATTAATAATGCATACAATAATATAAGCCTCCACTCTTCTGAGTTAATAGCGGAAGCACCTTTGGCAGTAATTACAGCAGTGAGTCTGTTGGGAAAGGTCTCTATCGACTTTGTAAACTTGATTTGGCAGTATTTTACCATTTGTCTTTCCAAAACTGTTCAAGCTCTGTGAAATTCCTTGGGGAGCGTAGACAGACAGTAATCTTCCACAGGCCACAAATTTTCAAATGGATTTAGGTTGAGACTCTAGCTGGGACACTCAATGACATTTACATTTTTGTTCTTTATCTACTCAAATGTAGTTTTGGCTGTGTGCTCTGTGCCACTGTCATACTGAAAGATGAACATCAATCACGGTTTTAGCGTTGGGTAGTCTGCTGTGTTTGTTCCACCAAATGTTTTGTTTTAGGCCAAAAAGTTGTGTTTTGAGATAAAATTATTTTGGAACTATTTTCCACATGTTTGCAATATCACGTAAATGCTTTTATGCTGTTTTAAGTAATAGCTTTCTTCTTGCCATGCTGCATTACAGGCCAAACCTGTGGAGTGCCTGGGATATTGTCATAACCACACTTTTGCCAAAAGTTGCATCAAAGTTGCCATTTGCCTCTAAGTAGCCTTTTTGTCTCCTTCTTCTTCTTCAGTCATGCAGTTTGGAGGAATAGTCTCCAGGTAGGGTCTAGGCATGAGTGGTGGTGGTGTCATACACCTTCCAATTTTTGTAGTCTAGACTCTAGACAATGCTCCAAGGGAAATTCAAGGCACCTGATCTGTGCCTTTCCACAACTTTGTGCTGGAGTTCTTTTGAAAGCTCCCTGATGCTCATTGTTGAATCTTGGGCTTAAAATGCACTACTATCCATGAAGGGGAACCTAAAGGAACTGCCGATTTTGTCCTGAAATCAAGTGAATTACAAAATATCTAACACAGACTATAGATCCAGCATCAAAGGAACACAATTACCCATGTAAAGAAGGGGTGAGATAACATTCTGGAAGATAATTCTAACAAATACTAGTGACAACAATATATTAAATAAAGCATAACATATAAAATAGAAAAGTCAGTGTTTTTTAACCTTTTTGAATATTACTATAAAGTGTTTAACATGGAAAAAAACATCTTATAGCCAAGAACCTCACTAAACCACGACAGGTAAGCCTATAGGGCTGTCTTAAAGTAATTCCTTTGGGAAAGCCCTATAGGTTTACCTGTCAAATTGGAAGCTTTTGAGTGACACATTTAAAAGCTAAAATATATTTAAAATTCTAATCTTACAATCATAACAGCTTATATTTTAAAGACATTTAAACCAAGGACTAGACAAATGATACTTGAGTTACTCTTAATAGATATAATGGGGGCTATCATGCATTTTTCTCTGATCCTTCATTAAAATATTGAGACAAGACTAATTCAACTGTAGTAGACCAATTAACATTATTAACATACTGCACTTAGTTATGTTCCACTTCTAAAAAAATATTTAAGAAAAAGAAAAAGCTATGTGGAAGCAATGTTTTACAGCCTTCCAAATTCTAATTTTATTTGTAAAACCAAGGAATTTATAATTCCCCTAAAGGATACAACAGTAATTGTTGTATGTAAATGTTTGCAAATGTTACGTAATGCAAAATGCAAACTCTCAGTAAATTACCTTGTGATGAGTGGTGTGATACCTCAATGATTCTCCTCATAAAATCAATTGCAGTAACAATCCACTTCAGAAGCTTAATAGCCATTTACTTCACTTTGAAATGTCTGAATTGTTCATTTTTAAACAATCTAATGTAATTACCTATTAATTGCAGTTACCAACAAACCTTGATGCTAGACTGTAACATTTAACGCAGCTAATGCCTCTAATAAGGCAATTATAATGTAATGGACAAAGGATAACGTGTATTGGGAGATCACTTCAATGCTAGAATATAAAACTGTATAATGCTTCACTATATATTTATGGAAAGAAAAAAATTAAATCTACAAAAACTGAAGAGTAATAGTACATACTGTATTATTGCATTACCATGATAATGAAAAACCATTATATCTTAAAAAGCTACAGTGATCAAAATGTGAAGAACAATTAGACAGATTTCAAGGTTAAAATGTTAGCAATGATCACTGTTTAAAATGTTGATGTGGATTAATCCAATTCCATTCAGTCTTCATGGGGTATTTCCATATCAGTTTAATTTCATCAAAAGCAAAAAATATAGAGTGAACTGAAAAGTCAGTTACTTTAACAAATGGTCACAATTTCCCTCAACTGTTTTAAATTAATTTGCAGTAACTTATACATCTCCAAGGAATGAGCATTCATTAAAAAGAATTGAGAAATTTACAAAGGGTGAATACCATCTTATATAGTTCTCCACACAATTTATTTCATTGTAACTTGTCACTGTAAACCCCAAAGACAAATTTTTGAAACCATCCACTAGACATTACTGCAAATACATCTCAAGAGTATTGCAGTTATATTCACTATGACCTATGTACAATGTTTTTGATTTTAAAAATAATGTAATGCTGATAGGTTCTGCACTAAGCTTGTACATTTCATTTTACTCTGTTTATGAACAGTCTTTATGATACAAACAGCATATTTATTGCACTGGCTGACAAGTCTGTTAAAGAAAAGAAAGGCATTCAAAATCTGTACAATAATAATAGAGTTGCTACATCTTCAGCACTTGGACGTTTTTAGTTTAATGAGGAAATATATTTAGCAAAACAGTCCTCAAGTTTCATCTGAATAATTTACAAATTTAATACAGTCAGATTCAGAACTGATTTTACTCAGTAATGCTGTAATACTGCAGGCAATTCACTGTTGTTTGTTTTCAGCTATTATAGAAGGAAATGCAGTCACACAGGTTCAGTTACATTTTATCCATAATTGTCACCTCAAGTCATACAGTTGTATTCAATAATTATTTATATAATAATTATTTACTTGTCAGCAACTGGCCATGTTCAGGTTTTCCTTCCGAAGCTGAATTATATGACTTGTATCCCGTTGAATTGTTGCATGAAATAAACTTCTAAATTTTCTAGCACTTTACAATATACATTTTCCTGGTCTTACCACCCTGTACAAAATATTAAATGATGCAAAAAAACAGTGTTATATAACAATGCTTTGTTAATGAACCGTCTAAATAAAAAGTAAAAAGTCCCTGCCTGCATCCAGGTATGCTTAGCTTTTTATAGCACATTTAGAAAGTGCACACATGTTCATAGGAACTATGTCAGACGAACAGAAAACACTGAAATTACAGACCCAGTGCTGAGAGTAAGAGACCATTTAAGAGACCATTGCTAATTGTCCCTTGAGGTGTCGCTTATTTCTGGTTTGACTGCACTTAGAACTTGTGTATATTACACTGTAATATTGATTAACTCCTGAGTATTTTGGCAGCAAATGCTTAGAGGAAAAAAGATGAGAAGATTAAGATGAGCATAAGGTGAATTATACCATATTGTAAAATAATTTTCCTCTTCCAACAACTGAATCCAGTATTGCAAAGCAGCAAAAAAGTTGATGGTGAAATGTAAACACTCAATATCTCAAATCAATTACAGCACCACAAAAATTAATGAACAAAGTGCACACATCTTGAAAAATGAAAACAAAATGTGTAATTTTATTAACAATCATCTATCTACTGCACATACAAACATATATTTGTACATTACACGGCCTTTCATGTACTTTTGTTGGTTTCATCACAAACTGTAAAAGCCCTTTAAATTTTCACTTCTTTACACAGCGATATCCAAAGAGGGGAAAAAGCTGTCAGTTTTACTGGAAGAAATCGCCTCTGCCACATCCAGAGTCATTAGGTTGTATTTCTATTAGCCACCTAGAAAAAAAGTGATAGTTTAGAAACTCACATTTGTCATCTATTTTTTATCCCCCTGACAAAATGTTAACATGTTAACAATCACAGAAGCAAATGAATTACACTTGGAAGATTTAAATACCAAACGACCCATTACACTTTAATATTATACAAATATTATACAAATTAACAAGACTTCCCAACATTGGCATCTTGTTCATCCCACTCAAATTGCTTTTCCTATCTCTAAATAATTGCACACATCCATGTTTAAAATATAATTTTGTCCTTTTTAAATATAGATTTTTTTAAGTTTTTAAAGAAATGTAAATAATGAAAATACAGATCATGTTAGTAGATTCTTTTGCTGAGAACTAATCTTGAACAAAGTAGATGTTACAACTTTGAAGAGACCCCTTCAATCACTCTTCAGTTTGTTTTTGTGTCATCATAGTCATTGGCAAAAATCCAGCATTTAAAAAAAAAACATTTCTGCAAACCCCCGAGAACTAATCAAACCTTTTGAGACAGAAAACACAAGCCCCCCCGCCTCGAAAAAAGAAAAATAACTGTTATAATGTTTATAACGTGCTAAATAAAAAGTTTTACTCAGTGATGCATTTTTTTCAGAACCATTCTAATACTGCTATCAGATTTAGCATCCTCATAAAAACCCACACATTTAAGAATACAGTTTGGATGTTCAATGATTTGAACATATACAAGTTTTAATTTCAATAGACAAGGAAAGAAATGATCAACAAAAAATTATAAAGCAACCTGACATTTCCTTTTTTCTTCCATTTTCTTTCTGTTTTTTGCTTTAAATGTGTGGAGTAAATTGTGTATCTAATTTTATTTGATATTTCAAAGTCATGACTTCACACTTTAATGCTTTAAAGCCTGAAAACTGTGCAAGGGTAAGAATACTTTTGCAAGGCACTGTATATGCTTAAACTGTCTTGAGTTTACCAGTGTTAAAGGTTCTGTTTTTCTGGAAAGCAAAACAATTTAACTTCAACCCGTCTGAAAATTGGGCCTGTGCAATGACTTGCCATGCTATATATTTTACCTTTAACTGTTCCTGACACATCAGTCTCTAGCTCTAGGAGGTTGATAATACTGTTGTGTGGGTCTTGTACGCCTTGGTTGCCCATCACCACCTCGACGATATTCTAGTGAATGTTCATAATATACATCATCTTCATCCTATGAGCAAACAATTCATTTAAATTGAATAGTTAATCTAAACCCTACCGCACAAGCAAAAAGCTAGTATATGCGTCTATTAAATCTGATTTTTCTAATGTCACAATTGTTTCATCCAACTTGCAATATACTTCTCTTTTCACTGGTATTGTACAGAAAAAAAAATTTCCACTAAATGAAACACAAAACATGATCGGGGACAACATTCAACTTTTCAGTTTTTTGGTTTAGGCTCAATGCTCAATTCCATGCCAATTTAAAATTCCACAAGCATTCAGCATTGCTGATGTGATCCCTATAAACATACAGAATAGAATTAGGTCAGATTTTACACATTGCTTATTTTTGTATTACATGCAGCATTTAAACTTATTTTAAATTAAAAGGGACAGGCAAAGACATATGACCTTTTCATTTTGGTAAGTGTAGTAAATGAAACAGTTTTAAAAGGCAATTTATTAATACCATTTTTATTTTCTGCAAGTAATTTTTTTTTAACTCCATAGCATATCCTGTGAAACTTCCCAGTTACAAAAGAACTTAAAACATTCTCCTTTTAATGACCATGCAATGTCAATTCTGCCTAGCAAAAGTCAAAGAAGTGTTGCAACAGGAGCATACTGGGTATGGTTTATTAAAAACAGAAGGCTTTTCATTACAGTAAAAGGATATTTTCCATATTATTCAGATCTATTCCTTTTACAATAAATTGGCAAAACAGCAAAACTGATTGAAATTTTAGCTTCTAAATATTTTGTCATATATATAGATCTATCTAGATATATTATCTGTAAAAACCAGAAAGTTTCACAACTTTACTCATGAAGAAAATGTGTTGGACGAGAAAGTATAAGTGTAGTGTTAAAAAAGTGCAGTTTGATCAAAATGTAATGTACAGCCATCTGAACCATGATGAGTTTTATTATACATATTTGCTGTAATTTAAAACTTCTAATGAAAATTTTCAATATTTAATTTTATCGTTAGGTATTTTAATGCATTCTGTACAATCAAAAGGCTTGAAAATTCATGATTATGGCAACACATTACTACCAGGAGAAATAAAAGTTAATCCTTGAATCGCTTACATTGTGTAAATTATCATGTAAATGGCCTGTCATGGAATGTGATTCTATACATTTTCATGGTAAGCATGCAATTTATATTTCCAGTTCAAAGCAGAGTTATAATGGTTACCTAGATTAATCACTTAATATATTGCTTAAGTTCTCCTTTGTGACTACCCCCTTCTAATGTTCACTGTCAACAATACACACTATGTAAACTTGACCTCTTAGTAAACAACATCCGATTTGTTATTAACTAAACTAATTACACAAATATCTGAATAGTTTTCTCCCTATTAGGAAGTTGAACATTTGGTCATTGAACTTGCAGTATAGAGCTAAAATGTACACTGTGTGTAGATCAGAAATATGAAAAAATGAAAAAACAAAACTTGGCTGAAAAGAAAAGCTGAAGTGTAATGGTTCCAAAACTTTGATGTGGACTGACTTAATTTGATATTGAGTAAGGACAATGGAAGCATAATTTCATGTTCATAGCAGGAAGGCACAAAGTCACTTTAATAAACCAAATTTTTTTTTCAACTGAAAAATGCAATTTTTACTCACAAAGTAACCACATTTCATAAACAAATCCCTCTACACACTCACATTCTGAACGTATTCTATGTAATAAAGGAAAATAAATGTCCCTAGTTTTTTAAGCGTTTTAATAAAAACAGAGTCAGAGAAAAAGTATTGCCAGGTAAAGATAGCAGTTCCACATAACCAATGGAACAAAATCAACTTGCTTTAAACTTTAATTCAGTTTAAGGCCTAAAACATTGATATGAGCGTGGGAAAATATTAAAATAATCACTTAAAACCAACACCCTTCAGACTATAGTAAAGGGTGTTCACTTTCAAGGATTAATTAAATAACATTGAGCACGAAAGGTGAGTGCTTTCAAACTAGCAAGAAATGTTCATAACCCATGATGAAACACTAGTATGAAAATAACTTTAAAATAATCTTAGGATCTCAGGTCACTAATGTGGCCAGTACACTTATCCTGTACTCAAATGTAGTTACTAATTATTTGCACAACACTATTTGTCCCACTGCAAGACTCCTATCAGCAGAATGCTATGCATGTAAATGAGTATTGTTTCAAAACCTAGTAGCATATATTTAGCAGATGAGTTATTTCCTGCAAATCAGTAATAACACTTTCTGCCTGTGTTGACAAAGCCTAATTTGCAGAAAGTCACAGGGAACACCCTTTAGCTTAGCAGAATCAGAACTAGATGGAAAACCCCTAATTTGGATAATGTTTTACCAAGTTAAACTTTAATTCACTTGATAAATGGCTGGAGGAGCTATCACAAACCTGGCTCTCTCACTCACAATCTGAGTGTAAATAACTGCTGTTCTGAGCTATACAAGACAGAAGACTACAGAAAAATGCATGAAGAAAAAAAGTATTATTTATTGAAGGAAAAGATCTTGATTAGTTACTAACTGTTTGCTAACTCATCAAAAAAGTCAGTTCTTTGCCCATCATGTTTAAAATACTGCCCATTCATCATTACTTATTACCCTGACAATTTTGTTTGTCAGATACAAAATGGAATACCTACCCACGTCTCAGCCTGAACAGGCTTGATGTTATGGAGAAGCACTTCTTCATAGTTTCCATAATCACTGAATACAACTACAGCCGTCGTTCCTGAAGGATGTACAGCATCAATTCTGGCCCGGTAAAACTTTTCAAGACAAGGGACACAATTTTTAAGGTTCTGTTTTTTTATCACCGCTATAAAAATTATAGCGTCAAATTTACCCAACCTCTGAATACAAGAGACTGTCAGCTGGGTTCAATACCACAGCTTCACTGTATGCTAGTGAACCTCACATCACTCCTGTGCCGAATCTTATTACACAATATATTCAGGGTTACACAAATGAGTCCAAAGAATAAATCACATTGTTTTGTGATATATCTTAGTTTAGACCGACTCCGTTTTTAGCTAACTGATACAAACCAATCTCCAAGAGTGTAAAAGATCTTAATCTCTATGGTAGTTTAGATATTCAAAACAAAGCTATTGGGCATGAATAAAACAAACTATGACAAGAAAAGGATTCTACAAAAGTATTAATATACACCATTTGAAGAATTTCATTTTCATATTTCAACTGTAATACAAATACAGAAGTGTTAAAACACAGACTATTTAAACACCATGAATAATGGAAAATATGTATGCATATGAGAAATACAGATTTATTTCTTACCTTATTGTCTTCCCAGTAAAGGGCAAGGCACTCATCTCCAGGCTTCCAGTTAAGCCCAAGAGGATTGGGGTCTGATGAAACTGGATTTTTTTCACATTTGATTGGCCCCGACCTCTTTTTGGGCCCAGAATTATAAAACACATTTTTATTCTCAAAATCATTAACAGAGTTAATGCTTAATGGTTTAATTGGACCAGTTCTTTTAGGCTCCGACTCTCCATTTTGGATATTAAGAGAGTTCACAACAGTACTAACAGTGCTTAAGTCATGTGTCACAGTACTATTTTTATCAATCCATGAATTTGATAAATTCAGAGTATCAACTGCTTTCGATGCTTTTTTTTCAGGATTATCAGAAGGCTGCCTTTCGTATTTCCGACTCTTTCGATTTGTCTCATATTTGGACTCGAGGCGCAAGTTTCCCTTGAATTCTGTCAAACTGCTGCTGTCCATGGACTTTACTTGCATAGAATGATCTTTTGGGCCCTTCCTGAATGCGCTGTCTGGTGCCTGCGGGAATGCTCCTGGCACTGCCTGGTCTCTTAAGCGAAAACTACCAGAATGTGATCGACCGCCTTTCTTTCCCTCCTCCTGCCATTTATCTGATCCTCCAGAGTTCAGTTTTTCTGGCCCTCTCCATCGGGATGCAGCCGAAGGGTCCTGGACTGCCTTAGAAAAGTCACTCTCCCTTTGAAACCGGGGTGGTTTATCATTTCTTTGCTGCCTATTTTCATTTCTTTGAGGATATTTCGCTTGCATTTGTTCTTTTGCAAAATGATCTTTTCCTGTGTGAAATGCCTTATTATGTTGCTCCTGATGGTTTTGCATAGGCTGATATTTTGGCTCTGAAAAAAAATTAAATAACACATCCACACATTTATCTCACAATAGACTATTTTTCAAAAATCTCTTATTTTGTTATGAGTAACACTGTAGAAAAAACTTGACAGTAATGATCATTAGCTTTTATCCAGGTGGCCTAGGCTAAACACTCATTTGGAATGGCAGTGAGGGATCTCACTATGGCAAATTCTATTGATTTGGCACTCACACCTGACAGGTTTTGATACAATAAGATTTCAAAGATATGGAAAATGCATCCAGTTTGTCACAGGTTTTAGAACACACTGAAGCATACCCTATCAAGTATTAAAACAAAATACAAAACAAGCAACAAATCAGAATAAGATTAAACTAATGCATTATCATTCATTGTGCAAAAATCTAAAAAAGTTCAAAATAAAAAAAATACCTTGCAGGTATAAACATTGTCTTTTGTACTATTACTGCTAACATTATTTTATAAAACCTATTCTGTATAAGTGAACAAAATAAAATTATCTAACAATTCGCATTTATCAGCCTCTTTCATTTTCTCAGAAAACATGTTATTGTTGCAAGCCAACAAAGTGATCTCATGGACTTCAGAAAATCTGTCTAACAGAACCCGTTTACACAGCTTTCTTAATTCCTTCAATTAAGCCTTGCCATCTGTCTGATTTTCTTTAGGTTGGATGTTTTAAAAACAGGCTGACAATGCTAGATATAATGTATATAAACCTATTCTGGCAATGGAATGCTTCCATGGTTCAATTTGTTTTAAGAAGTGCCAGGTGTAAAAAGCAAACAAATTACATTTGACAGTCATGCCAAATAACGAGTATGAAAAAATGTGGACTGAATATTGACTAAAATGAAAGCCTAATTATGTTTGTTCCATTTATTGCTCTTTTAACATGCTCTGCAATATTGAATCAAATAAGGTAGAATTTAAGCCTCACAGCATGTGAATGTAGTATTTAACAATTAAGACTGCTACTTACCAATTGACACATAAACAACCTGAAAGTACTCAACATAAAATGATATAAATCAAAGGCAAGAAAACACAGCGCACCATCAATGGAGAATGCTCCCATCTTTGATTCCAAGAAATCAAACAGAGTACTGGGCCCAGAAGGCCTACCACCTGATACTTCCTCATCATCTTCAAGTCTTGCTTTTCCTCTGCCTCTCCCCTTTCCTGTACAAAAAGGCAAATTTATTTGACCAGGGAATATAAAGTGCTGTTAACAGTATGATATTGTAGGGGAATTTAATTAGTTTTTATTTCGAAACGTTCTACTTTGATCTAGTCTTGCTTAAAATTTTGATTTCGGTCACTGCTAAACGACTAATTAATTAACTTTAATTAACACTATAATTAAAATATTAATTTATTCTATTTATAATACCTCTTGGCGGTGGTCCCTGAGAAGGCTTGGGCTTATTGCTGGTTAATAGAAAATTCAGTGCTGCTTCCAAGTTGTTATTATTGTCCATAAGAGCCTGCCTTGCAGCTTCTTTATTGAAGCCCATTTCCATTATGTCTCTTAAAGCTCTTTCATCCACCTGTTTAAAATATGCAAAAAGGTTTGCAATCCAAATATGTAAGGAAGATGTCAAATGTAAAACTCAATAACACAGTTTTTGAATGTTAAGGCTTCTTTCAACTTTGCTAGACTTCAGAATGCTACTCTTTTATAAGTTATGATGGAAAAATGTCAAAACAACCACCAATGAAGAGACTTTTTAAAACAGCATTAAAGGTTTCATTAGGAATTATAATAGAAAAATTGTAATCAAGACCTGAAAATCAAATTTCACATTTTCCTGTACAGACTCTTCTCTTTGAACATTATGGTATACCACAGAAAAAGCAAACTGTAAGTTCTTTACTGGAGATGTTAAAGGAATATTTAAAAATGGTAACAACATTTTTCTTCCATCTCAGAAATCTTACTAGACTATGCCCAATGTTGTCTCTGTAGACACGTCCTCAAGGTCCTCAACATACGTCTGTTCTAGAACAGATTACTGCAATATCCTATTTGCTGGGGTATCTTAATCCACACTGAACTTCATTATGTCAAGAATCTGGCAGCCTGAACTCTGAGCAGGTCACATGCAAGTGATCCCATAACTCCTGTCCTTGCACTTGCTTCCTATTTTTTGTCAACTTCAAAATCCTCATGCTCTTATACAAGGCTCTACATAGCTTGTTACCAATACCTGTCTGACTCGTCTTCTTACTCCCCACCTTGCAACCTTCATTCACCTGATTCTGGTCTCCTGTTTGTCTCCGAGGCTAGCTTATCCTCTAAAAGTGACAGGGCTTTTTCTTATGTACCAAAGCTGTGGAATTCTGTCCCCTAAAGAAATCAGAGTTTCACCAACCCTGAGCGCATTCAAATCCAGATTCTCAACCTTCTTCATTAGAAAGGCTTTTATTTAAAGGGGAACTGCAATGCTATTTTTGTATATCAGGGTTAGAAGGAATCAGCATTGATGAATGCAATTCAAACCACAATGAAAGTAAAATGTACACAGTAATGTGCAAAACCTCCAGTTTACACCACAAAATAGACAATTTATGCAGGTTCTCCAGTATGGGGAGAATCCAGAACGAGGCAACAAAACATCTGGTAATGTGATGTGGCCTTATTACATTGTGAAGAAGCAGGCTTGTGAATATATTTATTTTAATCCATTAGAAATCATTCTCCCGACTTTGAGACGGTTTTACCAACAAATATTACTTACTGGTTAACCCTACATGCAGAACATGTTGGAAAATTTCTGCCTGCTGCACAACCTGTAGTTATTTACTCAAACACTGCATTACATTTGTTTTTACGGTGACTAGTGAGCAGGAAGGGCCGCATCACTGTGAGTGGCGAGACCAATGGCTGGCAACAAGATAGAAACTATCCAGTACGTTCACAAAGTTAACAATTTTATACTTAATTCGGAATTTGTAAATTTTGTGATACCATCAATTAATTTATTTGCTTAACTTAATTTATTTTGCTACCGTGATTTAAAAACAGTGAGAAATTGGGACTGCAGTTTCCCTTTAATTGGTGTCCGTGTCTGCTCCTTGTATCGTCTATCGTCTTTCAAATCCCTTGTGTTCATTGTGCAAGCATTGTTAACTCCTACAATGCTTGTACCATTTACAGCAAGGACCACCTCACTCCTTCAATCAATTCTACTTCTGCACTACTGTACAGACGTATAGAGTGAAAATTGGTGAATGGCTCTTCACAGTGAGAAGTGCACACTTTTTGGCATGAAGGAGACATCAGTGAAGTCAAGCAGATAAAAAATTGTAATTCCAATTTAAACACAAAAAATAAAAAGGACATTTCAAATTTAAAAATAAACATCACATATGAAAGTTTAAATAAAATGGTAAAGGTCCATTTCTGATCACATACCATCTTCACCTTCCTTCAAATTAGCAGAGAATTTGCAGCATTCAGGTAAATTAGTTTTGCATTTGATTAAATATCCATTAATTTATAATTATCACACAATGAAAATCTGAAAAGGTAGTGCCAGAATATTTTTCAACAATTTTTTGTCTGTCTCTGTTCACAGAATAATGAAATACCAAAAATTATAATATTAGTAATTCACAGTATAGGTAAAACCATCATATTACTCTCCTCAGCATTTCTAAAAGTTATGTTATATGCTTGATGTGCTAAGTTGGGTACATAAGAATCTTATGTGCAATTCTTGATTAAAAAAAAAATAATATTCAATCTTGTCACAAATCATTGTGTCAGCACTTCAAAGGTCCTTACCAACTCTCGATAAACACCTTCAGCCCTGCTTTCGGTCCATGCTGGCTTTTCCTCGCGTTTTTTCTGAAAAGTGTCTCTGTTTCTATAATTCAGACTAGGTGTACTTAGATTGCCACCAGCATTACCCCCACCTCCAAAGGTTCTTGTCTTTTAAGAGAAAATGGAATAAACAGATTTAGTTGCTTTCTGTAGTTATCCAAAGATAAAACTTCACACTTTGAAAAGAGTACAGCTTTAGCCTACTACAGAGTATGACATCACAATTACAGAATTCATTAAAAGAATGTCTAGTTGAGCTAGTTACAATGTTATACCCCCAGAGGTGCAAAATTCTCCTTTGTTACTAATTATGATGTATTTGACCTACAGCACTATTAATCAAACAGGAAGAGAACTGGGTATATAAATTAGGACTGTAAACTGTTCTTTCCTAACCAACCGGGATTCCAGACCAGGATGCCTTTTCTTTGCATGTTCTACTTGTGTCTGCATGGGTTTGTGTAGGTGCTTCAGTTTCCTTCCACCTTCCAAAGACATGCTGGTGAGGCCAAGTAATCTGTCCCCTTATGTGTGCACATGCACTGTAATAGATTGGCGTTCTGTTCCAGGGTATATTCCCATTTTGTGCAATCCAGGATAGGCTCCAAGCTGCCACAACACTTAACACGAAAAAGCAGCTATCTGACAATGGACGGATTCTCAAAATGTATGTTATGGTAAAATAATTGAGACAAATGCATGTTGAAATAACGTTGAAATTTAGCAGCATCCAACCTATCGATATCATGACATCCAGAAAAAATTTCCTTAAAGGCTTTTGATTTTGTAAATAAGCCAAGGTGTTTGCTTTTCTTAGTCACAAGACAAAAATGACTAGTGAGTCAATAAAATTAGTAATCTATACAGATAGTGAAGTCTACATTTAAGGTATATTCTTTAAGCAAATAAAATTTAATTACTTATTTATTCATATTATTTTTGTTTATTTGGTTAAATCTGTTTTTGAACTGAATGCAGTTTAATATATGTGAATAAAAAGGTATTGTGCAACTATATATGATGATTTGTTTTTATTAAAATTCTCATCAGTGAAACTCAGTACCTCTTCTGACAGGCTATATGGATACAGTGGAAAGTTGTTGAAAGATCCTATGCAACAATCAATGTGGGTCTATAAAATCCAAAATAGTTTTGTATACCTCCTTGCTCTTTGCCACTTCTGCAATAGCAGCAATCCTTTGTTTTTCAAATTCATCATTTTCATCAGCTGACTTTACAGCATTTGTGACCTGCAGTGTCTTTCTTTGATCAAGTTCTCTGGTGTCCACTTGCTCTTTAGAAGCACATTTCTGTAATGGAAAAATGAATTATACTGCAAGGGTGCAAGTTAAGAAGGAAAACAACACTTCAGCTATTCTTGCATGAAGAATTTTTAGTAGACACCAATAACATTATCCTGATGAACCCTTCCTATGGCAAACTACTTTGGCTGTTTCCCCATTGTTTTACTGTTTATATAATGCGTTTAGCATGATGTACCATAGTAAGCTTTTTCAAGTATGTGGTATATGGTTTAAATTTAAATTAAGAACACCTCTTCACACAATCACATTTCTCCTCATCTTGAAGAGGTCTTCAAAATTAAGAAGGAAAAATATTCTTTAAAATTAAAAATTGATGATGATTAATAGTCATTATAATAAACTATACTAATTTTGCATTTTTATATCCGTGTTCAACTCATTTGGCACTGGTCAGGCATTACATCACTAGGGAGGTAGGGAAAAAACTTGTGAGTCCATAAAAATGATAGCGTATGAGATTTTTACAAAAAATAGTTACTGAAAAAACACAAACTGTCCTTCCATGGAAGTTAGAAGGCAATTACAGCAAATGGACATTTAGTAGTCTGACTTGACTGCCTTGACTTTCCTGTGGGTCTACAGCTGTCAGAGAAATAAGACAAAACACTTATCTCGGCTTGGATTAGGGTTAGAACTGAAAGCACAAGGGACTGGTTCACACAGTGTTGTGGCTTTCTGGAACAAATCTAACAATGTTTCTGAAGATTCCTTGGGATCTTTTAATAAGTTTGCCTTCTTCTTTAATAGCTATAATAGGTTATAGGTAGAGTAACAAACAAGAGTAACAAGTGCTATATATTCTCCGCCCTTTAGTAAACTTCCGTAAAATTGCTTAACTGGGTTCAGCCAAGTTCTCCAAGCTTTACCTTTTGAATTTCCTGTTATCTGAAATCTTAAATGTATCCAAGCACAACTTATTCTTTGGAAACTACCCATGAAATGGACTAAATTAAGTGGAAAAATATGCAGAGGTTTCTGAAAACAAACTATTCATTTTGCAATCAGATGTTTCCATGTTTTTATGCTTTGTAAAAGATATTTACTTAAAGGACATTCAATCAGTCACACAAATTGATGCCAACCTGATACAAAATAAGCTCACAGCACTTAGGTCAAACCATTCTAAAGCAATACGAGGGTGGGAAATACTGACATCAAACTAAAACAAAACACAATACAGTGAACTCAAGTGAAAATGCTGAAGCAAACAAATGGATTATATACACTATATTCTGCAAATGTAATGAAGAACCTAAGAATGTGTCCACAAAATATAAACTAAGGCGAAAAAGCATTGCAAATGCATAAAACTACTATGCCAAAAACTGAAATCATTTCTACATCAAATGGAGCTGTCCTGAAAGTCATAAAGTACAGGTTTAATTGCATTTAAGCTGATTACTTCTATTTTTCTATTTCGCTATGACAGGCAGGTAGAAGGGGACATTATTCAATTTTTCAGAAGCAATGTTCAAACATACATTGGCGACTTACGAAAACAAAAAATAACAGTGCATTGCAAACTTATACTTACATTATACTTGCATTAATATCCTATTTTATTGTATTACAAATGATACATTTTTTAAACATGAATATTTTTCATCACAAATTCAATCTCGAATGGAATACTTAGCAACAAAGTGAAATAAATAAGTAAAAGTCATTTCAGAACCCCTCCAAAACTATTACAGCCAAAATCAATTACTAGATACGGTAAATCATATTACAACTACATGTCAATGACTAGATCAATAGAATTAATCCAGCTGCTTAAAACAATAGAATGCTTTGGCAAAAAACAACAAAATAAATTAAAATTACCTGACCAAACGGGACAAATGGAGGTGGGCCACCTTCTGCACCAATGTTACTTCTACTATGTTTTGCCAAACTCTTATAAATGAGATAAAAATACATTCTAGTTATTAAAAAGATCAAATTATTTTTTTTCATTAGATCCTCAAAAATAAATTATTAGATGTACTGGTGCACATTTGAATAACACTTAAAAAGATATCATAAACCACAAGCTAATTTCCAAGAATAATCTTGGCTATAAATAGATAAATAACAAAGATATTTTAAAATAGAAAACTCAGCAGTTAATAAAGTTGCATCTCACAAAAATGACTGGTGTCATTCCTAAATGGAACCATTAAAATGACAAATTTCAATTACTGTGACAGTCAATATGTTGTTGCTCTCTCAGAAGCATAAGATGCATCATTCATTGCAAAAAAAGTTGAAAAAGTGAACCACATTATCAGATTACGCCTTCAATGCTATTATTTCAATTATAAGCAACTATTGAGCAAATAAAGTGTATTCCTCACCCTCTGCAACTCCCACTTCTCTATCATATGATCAACTTCTCCTCCAAGAATGGCAATCTTTGTCTCATCCAGAAGCAAAAACCCATTCTTCAACAGCACTGTTCCAAGAAGCTTCACTTTTGTTCCAGGAGGGGTGTTCATACTGAAATACCAATTAAAAACAGGATTCTTCATACAGACAATATTCATTCTTCATTATGTACAATAATTGAAAATGTCATACTTTCAACACACAAAAAAATGTTTCACACTTCTTTTCTCAACATAAAGACAGGAAATGTGTGTTTTTTAAGAAACAATGTTGAAGCCCAGAGAATTCAATCACCTTAAGGCCAGATACAAGATGTGAAAAGAGTAGCAGAAACATGTACACTAAGTTTCTATTATGACATTCAGTTCTTGCAGGAAATGCATAAAAGAAAGCAATGCTTACAGTTTGACATTATTTACATATACCTACAGACATACATGTATATTAGGAAGCTTACAAAGAAACTCTTTGAAAGATTGGTTTGCCCAGCTCATATTATGCTTAGTCCAGATGGCCCACTGGTAAGCCCTTAAATTAGTTTCACAGAGCCAGACCTACATTAATAAAGCTTTACTGCTGTTTTAAACTTTTTTTTTTTTAATCACATCTTCAGTGAAGTGATAGCATATTATAAAAAATTCCACTTCCTTAAGCTAGAAGTGTTCTTTATCTTAAAAGATAACCAAACTGCATTTCATGTGTGATGACGTGGTCATCAAGAACAGCAGGACTTTTACAAATCAAAGTCAATTAAATATACCAATACAATAACAATTAAGAGATTTACACAAATTCAATAGTCCACTCAGGATTCTTACTGAAATCTACTGCAATGTAACAAAAGAAATTTGAAAAAACATTGTTTTTTTGTGGATCTGTTAAACACTTAACATTAAAGAATTGATTTTATGAAGGAGCTAGACTAATGAGTTAAGAGTCAAAAGGTAACTCACAAAAGAAGCTTGTTCACATAACAGACAACCTAGACAGAACCGGACTTGTCCACCTGTAAAAGCTGGCAGACAGCCATCATTGGCATTTGACTAGCATTGTAATTATCATTAGGATCCATATTAACAGTCCACAGGTGTTACAAGTTAAAATTGCTCTTAACAGTGACACTTTCAAGTTCAAGTATTATATTGGCATGACCAATGAATTCAAGTGTTGATAAAAAAAATTAACAGAACATTTACAGATATTTACAGTGAAAACAGATCATTTCACAAGTGTACTAAGGACTGTGTTCTAATGTAGCAATTACCTGGAAGCTAAAAGGATTGTTCTCAATTCAACAGGTTTGTATTTTGGCATTCATACCATGTATGACTACTCACTAACACTGACAAGATCTCTCCACCTGTAGCCGTGCCTTTTTGGCATTTAGCGAAGAAATATTCCTGAACCAACAGGTTCTTTGTTTCCTAAGGGTATTTCTTAAGAGCATATCAAGAACCGATACCTAAAAAGCATAGTTAACATTCCACTGTTTATGAGTTTTTTAACATGACAATAAAAATATATAATGGAGCGATTAAAAAATAAACTAGAGCATTAAAGAAGTGAATTAAGAAATATTACTTGCAGTAATAATTTATTTTATCTAAAACATCCACCATGAGCTCACACAAATAAGATAAGATCACTTTATCGGCCACATACAATTTCTTCTACTAGGAATTTGTCTTTTCGCATACCCCAACTTGCTCTCCATGAGAGACACAGAGAGAGAAGCTTGGGGTCAGAGCGCAGGGTCAGCCATTTATACAGCGCCCCTGAGCAATTGGGGTTAAGAGCCTTCCTCAGTGGCCCAACAGAGTAGGATTCCCCCGCCAGCCACCGGATACGAACTGGCAACCTTCCAGCCACAGGTGCAGATCCTTAGCCACAGAGCCAGCCACCGCCCAAAATCAGAGCCACCATCAGGTCAAAAGTTATCTTACAAACAGAACTGACATCTGAGAATTGACTGATTCTTGGAAATCTCATCTTTTGAATACTCCTTAGCTGGACTGCAAAGCATGAGAGTAGGACATTCCTGAGGTAAGTAAAGTGGAAGGATGCTAGAAATCAAATGGAAAGAACTTAATATTTAAGAAACTTATTTTTCATCTATATTTTAATGAACAGAGCATGTCTGTGAAAAAAATGGGGACTCCTGTAATTCTATGTACAGCTTCTAAAAGAAACGTAACAAACATACAATAAGACTTAATCATTAACTTCCTGCATTTTAACTGACATTTTATTAAAAAGTTGTGGTGATTTGGTGGCTTTTTACAAAATTATTTGTAGATAGCACTTAATTTTACACAAAAAACACAAATGACCAAGAGATGAAACAGTTCATTTTTAGACAAATGTCAGACAGACCTTTTTGATCTAAAACCTGAAAATACTGAGTCAAAAAACATAACCTAGACTATACACATAACTTTTGTTTTAACGTCAATAAATCCACATTTCAATAAATCTTAATACTAATGATGTATGTTACAGGTTGTGGTGCCAATAAACTCTGCCTCAGTACTTAATGAAATTCTAAGACACACACTGAAAAACGAATGCTTCTCCTCACCTTACTTTAGACAGATATTTGAATTCAATCCCTATACAGTTGGTATGGCCATCTGTCATTTGCAGTCGTAGCATTCTTGGTGCTGCTTGTGATTCTTCATTGTCCTTAGGTGCTGCCACATTTCGGATTTTTTGTACTTGCAGAATACAAGGGCCATCAAGCTATGAAAAACAATAAATCATTAATTCACCTTGATACCATTTTTTAGGTTAAAATGTTTTTGACCCAAGATTAAACACTAAACTTAACAATAGAACTATTAAAAGAAACAAAATCCATACAACTGTACCTTTTAGAATGCTTTGTTTTAATGTTAAAAATGTCAATTATGCATTCAGAATAATCACACATTTAACCGTCAAACAAGCATTCACACTGCTTATGGCTAGTATTACAATTTGTAAACCATGTAAAATAACTTCTTGGCTGCTTCTAAAATTTGTTAATTCCTACATTGTCTTGTAAAACATCTAGCCCACTATTTGAAAAACAATACTGATTAGAATTAATTGCATATTTCATTTTTCTTGCATACGTCCTGCAATTATTGCATACTATTTGTAATCCTTTGATCTTTTCTTAGGCAAACATGCATAAATCACACAATTGTAAAATTCTGCCATCTTCCATTGGTTACGCATGATGAACTAAATTCCTGGCCTCTGGCTGTCAGAGACATCTTGTGGCCGAAGTAAGTAATGTTTTCACTGCGGGTACTGAATTTTAACATTAAGGTTAATACTGCCCCATTCTCCCACAGGTGCATTTAATACCTTTATAAGACATTGGTAAAAAAAATAGATGAAGCAGTATTCAGTAAAAAACAGATGTTACATTTTATTTTCAGAATTATCACAGATATACACCATCTCTTGAGATGGTAACGGAGCATCTATCATTTTTTGCTTTGAAACAAATACTGTATACTGCCATACATAAGCAAAACAAGTTATTGTTTCTTCTTATACATAAAATACAGGGGTATTCAGCTACAGAAGCAAATAGAGCTACAAAAGATTGTGGTATTGATTTCACAGGATGTTCACTGGTGGCAATGGAGATACAATACCACTCAGCCAACAGCTACCAACAGAGATATGAACAGTTCTATACCACTTTGCAACCTGAACTGCACTTCCTATTGATGTTTTGTAAAAATAACTCCTTGCATTTGTGTCATGCTTTTAATTCCAAAGGTTGATGAATGACTTTACTTTCACATAAGAGGGAATCAAGTTATTCCACCTCAGAAGTACAGCACCCACCTGGGTTACATGCAGCACTGATTCTCCACCGTCTGACCTATTTATAGAGTTAAACCTAAAAAATGTTCTCTAGATCATAAAGGTCTTTTCAATGTACGAAAGTAATGATTCACAGATTTTTTATCCATTAAAATAAAAAATAATTTCCTCTTCTATGTTCCCAAGTTTCTGGTAACTTGTTTCAATTTTATTCTAATCTGCCCAGTATGTAAAAGCAGCTGAAGAAAGGATCTTGGATCTGATGCCTTTTAGAATCTGTTCTCTATCAACAATTTAAAAAGGATGATGTTTTAATGGTTCTCCTCTTCTGGATGCAATAATCCACATTGCAAAGTGTAAACTATTAAGCTGTTGGTCAGAACAACCTCCGACCCGGTACAACACGGTCATATATATGAATTGAATGAATTGGCTTTATTACTCTGTTCTCCTCCCCACTGATAGCTGATGTGTGTTGAGCGTTCTGACGCACTATGGCTGCCGTCGCATCATCCAGGTGGGTGCTGCACATTGGTGGTGGTGGGAGGAGTCCCCATTACCTGTAAAGCTCTTTGAGTGGAGTGTCCAGAAAAGTGCTATATAAGTGTTAGCAATTATTATTATTATTATATATAAGCCACCAACCTACCTGCTATCTTTTCCAAGAATGATTCATCAATCCACAAGATATTTTCACCTTTCAATTTACCAATTATACCACTTCAGACTGATTTGTGTTACTCAATTCATTATACAGTACTTTGCTTCTGAATTTGGGCAGACTGGTTTACAAAGGGTTTTTACTATTTTAAAAAAAGCTATTTTTTGTCCTAGTTAGGTTTTTAACTGGGACAATGCACATTTTTTTTGTATTTATGACATGCCCTAAGATGCATTTCCACTTAAGATTTAGTGGTAAACTAGATTCCAACCATGCACAGGTGTGAAGAAGAAAAACAACCGCCAAATAATACATATCTAACAAAGGGAATAGTCTGCACCTGTACCACCTAGTAATTAACAGTTTTCATCCTCAAACAAAACAGTACAACAATTACCTGTGAATAATTAGTCTTTTAGAAGGAGCAGATTTAAAACACCATATTCCCTACAATATTCTTTGATGAATTACGAAACTAAAATATATTAACATACTATAGTTCGTATTAAGATAAGATGCAATTACTAACCAAAATTAAATTTATGATTAATGTTCTCAGAGTGTAAGCAGCTTTAGGTTTTATCCTGAGCACCAAGAAATCTATAACACCTTTCAATGAAAACATCTTTAAGTGAAAAAGCAGTAATCTGAGAAAAGATGTGTAAATTCCATTAAGGGCAAAATTACGAAGTGGTGTGTAATGCAACTCAACTTGAAGACAATTTCAAATGTGAGGCTGAGTAGACCTGATCATTGATGAATAACCTGGTTATTTTTAACCTGAATGAGATGTTTCATTTGCTATTCAAAAGGTGTTTGACATGGGGGAAAAAACATATCCACATTTTGCAAGGTAAGACATGAAAAGGCTGTCTTTAATTACATTACAGGAATAAAAGAGTACTGGTTCAAGAGTACTTGCAAACAAGGTGCATGATTTACAGTTTCATCAGTGGCGTTTCATCAGTGGCTTTATAAATAAAAAATTATCAATGGCCGGACAAAAAGTTCAATTTCTTCCGTTCCCTTTCCCTATGTGTCGAGAATTAATGACACACAGCACTACTAGAAGTGCCTACTTCTCTGAAAGAGATAAAATATGCCACATAAAAGATTGGACCAGAGGGATTCCCAGCTAAGTGGAAGACAAGATAAGCATTCTACTAAAAATAACTGTTTCGAACACAAGGGAAGATCCAGAGTTTTGTACATCCTACAAGCCCATATTTCTCCTTAATATGGATACTAAAATTGGCTAAGTTGTTGGCTTTACAACTAGAAAATGTAATAAATATTGTCAATCCAGGATTTACAAAAAGAGATTATTTCATATCATGTACTATTTAAGCAAATTAGTCTAGTGATGCCAAAATGATTTGATCATGTGAAATGGGAAAATGTTTGATGTCCTAATTCCTAACTGGAATTAAGAACAATTTAATTAAATGGACAGTATAAATATGGTGCTGAGGTTGCTAATAAAAAAAATAGATTAGCACAGGAACAAGTCAAGGTTTATTCCATGCTGAAAAGAGAAGAAAAATAACATTTCAGCTGTTGAGCCTTCTTCGAGTATAAACTTTCAGTGTCCTTTGCAAGCCTACGCATGCTGACACAGCTACCTACTTGAACTTCATTAGCAGAGGCCAATTAGTTCACATAGAGGTACTAAGCAGGGCTGCCCACAGTATTTTTCAGTTATAATGTCATTTGCATTAGGAATCCTACCAGTATTAAGAGGGTCAATCTAGAACAAAAACATCATAAAATTATGTTGGGTGCCCTTCTGTTGTGAAATGTGGAAAGCACTTACTTCCTGCAATTATTAAAGCAATAACACAGCCACATAGTGTGTGCAAATCACTGAATATAAAATTTATTTTTATTAAATTAGAAATAATGCCATTTGGGTTAAAATTACACCCCTAATATCATAATTAGATTATGTAAATATTAATACCTATCACCTCACCTTGTTGTGATAAAAACAATCAAGAGCATTGTGGATAGCTGATAGACTCAATGCTCTTGACTGTTTCAGGTGGGAGTATAGTGGTAAATTGAAAATAAGACAGACTTTATTACAAACCTGCCAAAGCAAATGTCGTGTAGAAACCATGAAAGCTGATTAAACCCAAATATAATTAAGAAGCCCATTAAACTGTTGAAAAACAGTGGAAACAAACAACACAATAGTTGGCAACAAGCAACTTATATGGCTTATAATTCACTGTACAAAGAACTCTGTTCACTGCTTAATTTTTTCTAGCCTGCAACAACCAAATGGCTTGTTTTCACATACCTTTTCAACTCTTCCACTGTTGATTTCATTTGGTAGAAACTTCCTTCCAATGGGCCTCAAATCACTCTGGAAGTAAATTTATACTTATTGAAAACAAATATCTGCACATTTTAATGTGCCTGGTGAGTAAATCATATTTGTAACTTATTTTATTAATCAAAATACTACTCTTGAATATTTCAAAACACAATGTGGAAAAGAAAATACTAATTACTTCCACCACACAAATAAAGATCAATGAAATCAAATAGCTTTATTGTTCAGAACTATATTATACTATATTATCATCAATTATTTTCCAGCTTTTATACCTATTAATTTCAATTAATGTCAAATAATATTCAAAGACAAACTGACATAATTTTACCTGATTACACAAACTTGATTAGCAACAGTGGTCACGGATGTTTGGCAAGCTAAAGATTCTACAGCAGACTTGCAAATGTTTACATGTTTTTTGTTCCATCCTTTAGGAGCTCAGACTAAAGTCAAGTAGTGCCACAGTCAAACCTCAGACCAGAGTTCTCAGGGTTATTAATGAAACACACTTGCAGTCCAATGAAAGCTATTTGTAGATAAAAACTCAGAAGCATGTGTTATTCTCTCTAGCAGGAGGAAAACACTGATACACTAGGTGTAAAACAAACCTACATTTAATGCGATACGGATTATGTCATTAATGGAAGGATTTTCACAAGAATTTTTGCAGGCTTCTATTCCTTCATCAGAAAGATACCTGTAAGGGAACAAAAGAAAAAAAAATAATACCTCAGTTTCCAAATAAGGTTTTATTCTCAATGTTTCCATAATGGCAATTTCAGTAAAACTCCATTTGTTTGAAGATGTTACTTTTAAAGTAGTATAAACACCTTAAAAAGGCTGGTCACTTGTTTAATAGTGAGCACTATTTTCACAATTGTCACCCTGGCAAAATAATCAAAACATATTTAAATGCAAAAAGATCACTTGTTTTGAATGTTAAAACACCTGAGTAGTACAAAAAATAAAGAAAATAAAAAAGATTCACAAATCATCAGAATGATCAATCAGCTTATGAAAAGGAAAACCTTCTCCAGCTGATTCATAACATTTCCAAACATGTCTAAACCTCTTTAATACATTTTTCTCCAATCTACACAATCATTTTCCAGTATCCAATTAGTTCTACATAAGGAATTACAGTAGCATCACCTAGTGGGAGTAAACTGTTAGTGATTTTAGATGTACTTAAATCTGCAAAATATTCAGAAGTTCTCATTTCATAAAGAAACATGAAATGATTTCTGTATGAGATCAGGTTTATATCCTCAAAACATAACAGTCCAACTGCCATGTACATGTCACATTTCTTCTTATAAAATTCAGTAAAAAGAAAGATTTGTGAGTAAATCCTAAAAGTCAGAATGTGTTAAACAACCATGCAACAGTAGTATCAACCTTTATTAAAAGTGTAATCAGTTTAGAGAATAAAGAACAGCATGAAATCAACGACTACAATTTTGACATCTTAACAAAACATAAGGTATTCTAACTTTTCTATTATACATGACTTAATTATGTAACAGTTGTATGTTGGAAAAAATGATCCGTTTATTTTCTACAAAAATGCTGCAAAATAAAGCTACGATAAAGGCACCTCATGTGTTCCAAAGGCATTTTTGCAATGGGAGGTCCTTTAAATACTCCCAGCTAATTTCACAATTAAAAATACGTCAAGATTTATTCAAAACGGCAAAGGAAACGAGACTAATTTGAAAAACACCACCGTTTTATGTGACTCTACCATGCAGTATGTCCAAAATTCAGGAGCCAGAATCCTGACCAGATCTAGTGCAAGTGTTCACATTACTCCTATCCTGGAGTCCTTGCACTGGCTTCCGGTCAAATTCCGCGTAGACTTTAAAATCCTCATGCTCACCTACAAGGCTTTACATGGCTTGGCACCTCAATACCTGTCTGAACTTTTATCGCCCTACTCCCCACCTCGCAACCTCCGCTCTTCAAATTCTGCCCTCCTTACTGTCCCCCAAGCCCGTCTACATTGTATGGGCGACAGGGCCTTCTCCTGCTATGCCCCCAAGCTCTGGAACTCCTTGCCCAAGGATATTAGAGAGTCACCTTCTCTAAACTCCTTCAAATCCAGACTCAAAACCCTCCTTTTCAGAAAAGCCTTTACTTAACTGGTTCCATTCTTCACCCCTCTGCTCTTCTTAATACCATCTTCCACGGTCTCCTCTATTGTTATTGTTGTATTGTTGTAATTATAATTGTGTCCTGTCTTGTGAAATTTTCTTATTTATTGTTGTAGTCTTCTTATTTATTGTTATTGTCATCCTGTAAAGCGCTTTGAGAAGCCACCTTTAAAGGCGCTATATAAAATAAAGTTTATTATTATTATTATTATTATTATTATTATAAATCTTATTTTCTTTATAATGTGATTGACAAATAACTTACCACCAAAAGTTTGATGAGCAGAGAAATTCTTCAACAACTATATGGATTTCACAAAAATCGGGGTCATAGAAGTTGTATATACTGTTAGCATAACGAAGTCAAGTGAAGGTTCAAAAACTAGCTCACGTTTACAATAAATAAATGATATAAAGACCACATCATTACCGTTTTACGTGTGAAAAAAAAAATGAAAATAATACCAATAATTCTGGAAAGAACTGAACAATTCTTCAGCTACATTCTGTGACCATCCGTGAAAAGTTTTTTTTTTGTAAAATACCTCAACAACCATAAATGTAATAACTTAATAGCAGAGTCAAAGGAACACTAACGCTATGTTTTAAAATAACCAAAATAATGCATCGACTAATCTTTTGGTAACAAATAAGTGAATGTATTGGAGATTCTCTTAAATCAAAAATGAACGGAAATCAATCGCTAGAAAACATGATCATACAAGTATTTACCACTGCTTTGTTGTTAAATTCTAGTGATACGTATCCGATGTTTGACGGTTGTTTCCAACAACAAAGTGGAAAATAACTGAACAAATAATATCACACATTAAAGTTGAACATGAAGCACATGCATATAACGACACAAAATCAAATAAAATTCTTATTTGGGTTTTCTTTTCATACAAACTGCAGTTGAAAAGTTATCGATTGTTCTTCAAGAATGAAACACCTCTAGGCCTACACGTTACCAAAGTGAGCATAAGCAACAAAAAAGATTCTTATAAATTAAATATTTATTCTACTTGAAAGAAAGACTTAATAAATGCCTCTATTGTTTTCTTAATTGGAAAAGGGATTTTATTTAGGAATTTACAAGGGAAAACGAGCTACCTACCAGCCTTCTTTGGACAGAGCCGAGCTGATATCAGCCATTTTTCCACACACACGGGTGTTAAGTAAATTTTACTGCAGATCTTTTTAACACTACTTTCCGTCAGTTTGATATAGTCTTTGGAAGACCCCTAAATGATGTTAAACTTTTTGACTGCATAAAATACGTTTTATATTTACATTAAAATAAGTCATCTACGCGATGCAACAAAAAATAACTACAACCACAGTAGAATGACGAAGGTTGAAGTTCAGGGATGAAAGGTCATTGCGTGATTAGTGACGTAGATTTTCATGGGTGAAGTCAAGAGAGCGCCATCTCTGTTTGTGGAATAAGTAGAGCCTTTATGCAATTCCTTCTTATATTTTTTGACGAAAAAAAACACTTCTATCTTTAAAGTCAATTCTGGATTTTATCCTGCGTATTACAACCGATTACCTTTGTTTAACAGCTATTGAAGAAATACCGCAGTATTCGGCTTAGAGCAAAAATACAGGAAAAGTGGGACGTCTTAAGATTTTCAGTTTTTCATGAATATATTTCAAAGCCTACAGAGAGACTTAAGTAACAATTACCCATACAGTAACTAGTTTTTTTAAAGTAAAACATATTTCTTCTCAAATAAAGTGTATGTGTTGCCGGTATTGGAAAAAGTGTTATTAAATTACAAAATTCCTGTGCAAATAATTACTTTTTTAAAAATAGACAAGATGTTGAGGTAATATATATTTTTAAAGTTTGGTCTATGTAGCATGGTATAGTTACTACGTAAACAAATGTAATACCTATCTGTAAGCATTTTCCTAAAACATGAATATGAAAAGTTATCCCTTACAAAATTGTAACAGTAATGCATTATTTTTTAAGTATCTTTCCCTAACAATGGGTGTGGCTATATATTTTATTAATTCAAATCTTACATAATTTGTTTGGCTTTTCCCCAAAGTTGTCATTTAAAAATCTTAAAATATGCACGTGTTTTTTTTATAATTCTTCATAATTAGGGTTACGCTTATTTGATTTAATATGAATAAGAAATCAAATTAAAAGGAGTAGGGAGCTGTTTAAAAATGTGCATTCTACTATAGCTATATTAGTATAGTGAACAAGGTATACCAGGTAAATGGTATTTATTTAGGTTACTGTAAAAATAAGGTAGTTTGCTGTTAGTAAAATAAAAAAGTCATACTGCTGTGTACACATGAGAGGTTTCATTTTTCCATTCCCATGCCAATTCGTATTTTAATTGATTTAGTTTGCACAAAAACATAAAACTAAAATCCTGGTCTATCAAGACTAAAATTACATCTACATTTGAAAACACTTTCATAATTTTTTCCAAAATATTAGAGAACTGTATATTCCATAGAAGAAATCAATCACATCCATTGTAGTGGAAATGGCTCAGTATTCAGTATCCCCCATGATTCCTGAAGTGTAAAGCAGTAGCAGCCCAGCACTTTCCTTATATGTTGTGCTAAGACAAAGATGGCTGATGTGAATGACTTTACAAGTGGCAAGACTGGAATTGTATGTGTCTCTGGTGCATTGTTGAAAGCAACAAAATGCATTGCTGATTTATCAATTCAGACAGTTTCAGGTTTACAGGCTGGTTGGTAACAAAACACAAACAGGAAGTACAATTCAGCTTGCAATAAGACATGGAACCAAAGGGACAGAGAGATGATTTCACTAAAATTTCACTGAATATCCCATATCTTGGTAGTGGTTTATTAGTAGATCTCCATAGACGTTTCTGGAGGTGATGTTGTGACATGCTGCTGCTGTGATTGTAATATACCTTTGCTATACATAGTGATAAAGAAGAAAAAGAAAAAATAGTATAAAACGTAATAAAAGAACATGAACCAAGAACATACAGGATAAACTGTTAGTAAGTTTAGATTTGCAGAGTGTCAATTAATTTGTCTTTTGAAGAGTTGGAGGAAGCACATTCCACAACAATGGAGCAGCAAAAGAAAAGGCGTGGTCACCAAATGTCAGAAATTTACTCCTAGGTACAGTGAGCAAAGGACCAACCTCAACTGAATGAAGCCTGAGGGAGTGTAAACATGAAGGAATTCGGAGATGTACAGTATCATGGAGCCAGATTATCTAAAACCTTCAAAGTCAGTAACAAGATCTTATAATGGATATGTGAGTTTATAGGTACGCAATGGAGAGATTTAAGTGTAATAGTGATATACTGCCAGGGTCTGTGGTGAGTTAGAAATCTAGCTGCAGAGTTTTGGACATATTAAAACTTATTGAGAAAAGTGTTAGGGAGCTGATAGAGTAAGGAGTTACAGAAATCTAGCCTTGATGTTAGAAATGTTTGCAAAAATTGCAAAAACCTAAAACAGAGGCCAAGGATGGAAGAAAGAGCTGAATTGTCAGGGATTTAATGAGCTTGTTAATAACAAAAAGAACACTTTATGATTTCATAGTCCAGAGCTAATTGTATCCAAAATGTACTGTAGGATGAGCTGGCAGGAACTAGAGCAGATCTACAGACATGTACATTATGTGTTTATTTCATGCCTGAGTGTGAACCACTAGGCTGTCTTTTTATTTAAGGGGGCCAGATGCCATCCAGACAGTTTCAAAGAGCAAAGTTCATGTGTATACCATGGAGAGAATGCTTAAAGCAAACTAAGTGAGTTTAAAGGAAGTCAAGTTTATCCAAAGTACTAGTCAGCGCAGTGCGAAAATTACTGACTAGGTCAGCTGTTGAAGATGACCAGTCTTGAACAAGGGGTGAACCAAGGATAGCATTCGGGAAATCAGAGGTGTTCACAGGTTTCAATTAAGAGCAAGCTTTCTTGTAATAATGCTCCTATCAGGTACTCTTTATAGTACTCAGATTACCTGGACTACAAATGGTTCCAGGATGTCTTAGAAAACGGATATCTCCCTTTGCTCAGCTTTGAAGATGATGAGCATTAATGATTATGAAGTAATGAGGTCTGCTTTTCTTTTTTCTTTGTCCTTTCCTCTGTCTCTGTTTATTTATGCTATGGTTCATTCCTCTGGAGGTTATCTTAATGATCTTCCTAGGAATGTTCACTGTGGAATGTTTATTCTTTAATATGGAAGTACGAATGATTTACAGTGAAGTTAATTAACCTGAGGATCACTCTCTAATTGTCTGTATCTTCCTCCATGTTTTCTTGGATCTGTGACCCAAGGACAGCAAAAATACAGCAATAATAATTGTTCCAAACCTTCTGAGTAAGCAATCAGACCAGTAAGTGCAAATTTTGCTGTGGTTGCTGAAACATGGCTGTCCTCTTCAGCCACAATAATATAAAACTTAACGAGATCATTTAGTGTTTTTTTTTTGTGATTCTACCATCTATGCATTCCTAAATATGACCAACTTAAAAATTAATCTCAAAGTAACGGAAGGGCTAAATAGGACAATCAAAATGAACTAGGACTATTTTCAACTATTTGACAGCAACACAATTAGTGGCTGTTTTAGATTGATAGTTAACATATAAAGCTGTAATGCAGTCTAATTTGTATGCAGTCTGACAGCTAGAAAACAGTAAGTGCAAGAGATTGAGCTGTACTGGATGAAGAATCGAAGAACTTTCATTATGTAGTGCAGTATCTCTCAGTCCTGGTCCTTGGGGACTGCTTTATCTTCTGTTTTTTCTCTAGGTTAGTTCTTAGTCACAGGTTAATTTATTTCAATTTTTATTTTTTAAACCCCTTTTGTTTTCAACTCTTAAATGGTTGATTGAGATTTATAAATTTGATCAATCATCTACTAATTATTAAGCTTCACATCTGCCCTCATTTAGGTGTGTTAACTGAAATGTGATCAATTGGATTTAAGCAGAAGCAAAAGCACTTATTTACTGTGGGATTGTCTGGTACTGTACATTGTTATTCTTGCCTGTATCTTTTCATCATGAACTGGTCATTATTAACATATTTTTAGTTTTTGTTGCCGCTTAAAAAGAAAGTAATAATCTATTAGCATTAAACAGATACAATTGAAAACTGTAAATCAGAAATAATGAATTCACAAGGGACATGAAGAAGGTTAATTTAATATCATAGCACTATGACAGTGATTCTGAAACCTGGTCCTGGAGAAACTTTGCACATGTGAGTTTTTATTCCAACTAAATTCTGTCTGAGTGACAAAGAACCATGAACACTCAAAGAACCTAAATTCAACTACCTTTTTAAGAAGGAAAAAATCAAACTTTTTATCTGAAATGTTTCTGCATTTAGTCCCTATTTTCAGAAGAACATTAATTTAGATTTAGTATTGAAAATACATTTTATAAACAGAACCCTCTCTGTTGTCATATTTAATTGTTGTTTCTATTTTCAATAAATATTGAACTTGAATATTGAATACTGGAGATAATGAGGATCGAACACTGTCACAATAACCACTCATTAAACAAGGATATTTTTGAAACTCAGTTTTAAACTGTCTGCAAATATTGTTAAATATTTAATTGTTGTGTACAATCTTTTAACTATAGTCTTTCATATTTTAATATTTTCTTCCTTTTTAATCTGCTTATAATGTGTTTTTATATGTTGTTGTATAACATTGAGATATACATGGTGTGAAATGGCACTTTCTAATGAAATTTAATTGATTATAAAGTTTTAAATATGGATCTGCATCTGCATCTGCAGATAACCCTGGGGTTATGGGTATGTTTCAGGCTATGGTCAGTATTAGAGTTTTGTTATTAAAAAGAAATTATTATACAGTAGAGGATTCTATTCTACATTTATGTAGAATATTAAGTATATTGATACTTTAGTAATACAGGTATAAAACATTCCCAAAATCTGTGTAAATGTTTTTGCCACCATAAACCTTTACAATTATTGATATAGTTTTCCTCTGTTCACAGATGTACACATACACTACAGTAAATAGAGTACAGTGGAGAATGAGAAAGAGTAGGCAGACTCCTCCAACCTGCCTATCTTTAAATCATGTCTCTTTAACAGGGAACACGGCCTCGAACCAGAGAGAGAGGGTTGACGTGTTACAGTGAATCAAGAAAGACCCTGGCTTACTAGATCCCACCCTTCCCTTGGTGGCAGCAAACCAGCTGTGGGAAACCTGCTCACAGTCAGCTAACGACATGACCCAGGCTGGAATTTATGATCATAGAGCTTAAGATGGGCTCACCTGGGTGCATTTACCAATTGAGCCACTTGAGAGGTGCCCAATATATGACATTATTACTCCTTACCGCCTCCC